CTCATCACATGCTAAAGAAGCTGCTTTTGGCAGTCCATCAGTTTGGATCTGCTGATATTTACTTACTCTGTTTTCTTATTCAATCAGGAGTTACTTAGCGAACTGCGTGAGTTCCTAGATAACAGCAAAGAGGAGGAGAAATTATCTTGTGAAACAACAGATCCACCGTGTAAAAGACCCAGGCTGGAGAATACCAAAGAGTCTGAAGAGCAGACCCTGAATGGAAGCCATCAGCTGGACAGTGCAGAGGATGATGGAAACACAAGTCCTGCTGCTTCTGATGGAAATAATTCAAAGCCAGCTATTTGTACAATATGCCTGGGGATTCTGCAGGAGCTCTGCGAGGCAGATTTTGTTAAAGCAGTAAGTGCCGGTAGACCAGCTATCAGCTTTTAAACAAGCAGTCCTTTCCATTGTCTGGTGTACCTAGTTATTGCTTGTGGTTAGGCCAAACTTTGTTACAAAAAATCTTACTTCAGCTTCCCATCCCATACATGCTGACCTGCTAATAAATTTTGCTCAATGCAATTCAACTTGCTTCCAAATGAACATGGTTAGGATCAGACAGAGAGGGTTGGCACAGAATTGCAGGACCTTGGGAGACTCCCAGTAGCCAGCTGACTATAATGGGGTGGTGGTGTTTCAGTTCTTACGTCAAAGAAATGCATTTCCTCCTCTTTATTTTCTTTTAGGAGTTTGGTTTCTCCAGAGCTCCATGCCTGAACAATTACACTTATATATGAACTCCCTCTTTCCTAATGCAAGTCACGAAACAAAAGCAAATTAATTTGCAAACTGGAAAATTAGGCACGCTCGTGTTAAAGTGCCACACAAATTTTTGTTTTTTGTTTTTTAAAGAAGGTCTGTTTCAACCCTGGGGCTACACTAAAGAATCTGTATCATTTAAGTACGGCCCAAAGTATGAAATCCAGCCAAGATTTTCTATCTCTCTCAACATTTTGAGGTGCCTCGTGTAAAATGGTGTCATTACTCTGGAGAGTCCAGATCAAAAAGTTATCACTTTTGGGATCCTGAATGGAGGGTTTTGACCCTAGAGGTTCCTAACTTATACCCCGAAGCTCAGTGCTGAGGTCTGAATTCAGTGGCGCTGTCATTTACATCCATGACTCCTCCTGTGTG